ACCCAGGGGTTGAGATGATCTGTTAAAAAACACTGTAACTAAACCCTGTAATCCCAAATCCTGGAGGTGTTATGTAAGGAGATGTAAGCAGGAAACAAAAGCTTGGATATGAGCCTGATATGCTTGTTATAGCCACATTTAAGGAAGAGCATTTTTCTGAAATTGGGTATGGAAATATCTAAATTACAGACAGGCAGGAAGATATGATAATTGGGTTAAAATCACCAGTGCTATTGAGCCTGATTCATGCTCAGTTTCACATTGGGCAGAAGTTATGTTTGGTTTTGGCTAGTGAAATATCTTTCTCATATTTTATGCTTCTCCTCACAAGATTAAAAGAGAAAAGAGAGATGAGAATTGAAAATGTAACGAGAACTGAAGTGTGTATTCAAATGAGAAAACTTTGCTTTTCTCTCGGGTTATAAAAGTGGGTTTTGTTTTGGATTTCACGGGACCTTGCCTCGTGAAACCCGGCAGATCCAGAGCCCTGTAACCCGTCAGTTCAAGTGAAAAAAAAAAAAAAACACAACCGAAATGACAGGGTTGTCAAACACAGGTAACGTCATGGTACCTTTAATGGAGACCGAGTCACGCCTTCCTTCCTTAATGGCTCTTCTACTGATCTCAGTCTGCATCTCAGCTCTCCTGGTTCCAGTCCCTCCTGGTCATGAATGAACCGAAAGGGCTCCAAACATTCCTTCCCTGTTCTCATAGACGTACACTGAGACCTGCATTCATCACCTCTACATGCACCATTACTCCCAGTGATGGGAGGAAAGAAACAACACTTTCATTAGCAGGTCTGCTCCACTGAGGTGTGGAATGTCCCGTGGGTTTCCAACAACAGTGACAGAGAAAGCCGGCCTTCATACAGCTATTGTTGTCCTCAACAAGCTCACTTAGTGTAATGGGCAAGGCTGAGCCCGCTCTTCAAAAGACGAGGGGCACCGTGCAAGAATAAGAGCAGTCATGCTTAGCCAGATTAGAGATCTGCGTAAAGAAAGTATAATTCATTGTAGTTTTGAAAATAATAAGCTCAAGGGGCTTAATTTATAGTGGGAGGCAAACTCAAAAAATGGAAACATCACTTGTAATAAAAAAATTAAAAAAAAAAAAAAAGCTCCCTACCTTTTAAATGCATTGTATATGTATAATAGGCAAATTCAACACAGCCACACAGACAGGGAGCAACATTTTAGGGCATTTTCCCTTTAATACAGACTTGTCAGGACACAGTGACAGTCAAAACTACGACAAAGAGAAACTCAAAAAGATGTTGAAAAAGGCAAAGGCACCAATATGCTTCGACCAAAGTGCCTTTTGGACGGTGGAACAGCATCTGAAAACAGCTGTCTGAAATTGGAATTGGGTGCCTGGTGTTTCTGACAATTTTTGTGACTTTCTGAAGAGGACGATCTGTCAATCACGACCACTAAACGCCGGTGTGGATATATTTAAACTATGACAGTCAGCTTTTCCCAACCTCGACTGTGGGCTCTCAGAATAAACATACACACTTTTGCCTTTAGATGTAATCATTTCACATATGCTATGAATTGTTTCCTGCATACACTAACCTTTAAATATTTGACTATGAAAACCTTGCCATCATCTCAGGAGCCCAGTTTTCACCATAATAACATTTGAGTCAAGAAACTGTCCACTGAGAATCAATTGAGCCTGGAAGCTGGAGGACCATTCATTTGAAATGTGGAGTGGTTTAGATAATGCTTCACTGAGATTAAAAATGTCCCAGCCAAGAGAGCAGAGGATAGTGTGATTAACCCTCTCTCGAACTTTACCGAAAACAATCTAACCTGTTTGCTGTAGACGTGAAATGAAGCATGAATACGAGGCCTTCTTCTGAGCTACACTTCAGTACAATACCACAACGACCACAATGATTTCCCAGCGTGGAAATCAGAGACAAAGACCAGAGACATGACCAGCAAATGGTGCATCTGTCCATTCGGGGTTTGTGTTAATGTTTCACTGAGGAAGAGAATGCCTGCACCAACTCTGGCTAGAAAATATGAACCATTCAAACCAAGTAGGTAGGATGTCAATATGTGTCTCCACTAAACAAAGGCGCGAGGACAGAAATTTTTCACTACTTCAGTACATGAACTTTTTTTTTTTCCATTTGCCTTCCCGTTTCCTTTACAGTCTGCTTCATGCCAAATTCAAATGGCCAGTGAAAACATTACAGAGACTATTACAGACCGTAAATACTGTTCTCTAGTTGTAGCCTGATTAAACAGTACTTTCAGTCAAGAATGGCGGCCGAGGCGGCAGTATTGTTTCACCAAGTGTGTATCTCACTCATCACACTCTATCTGGACATCTTACAGTTGAGTTGAACTAAAAGGTTTTAAATGGAATTGCCCTTTTCAACTACAAGGCGAAACTGTGGTTGAATAAAAAAAATGTTTACTGAAGTATTAAGCGGGCTGCTTCAAGTCGGCAGGGTTAAGGCGTCCATCAAGCTGCTGTTGATTAGATTGAAACTGAGTGTGGAAATTATGGAGTGCCAAGCTGTGCGCTGTGTTGGTGCAGTGTCAGAGTAGAGGTTGTTTCTGGGACACTAGAATTCATTGTTGAGACTCCTGGAGGCTTTATGGACTTAATTCAATGAAGGCTGCATGATGGGAGGTTTTCAGTCTTTATAGCCCTGTTGACAAACCCAATTTCAGCCACCCACTTTCTTTCTCTAACATCCATAACAACAAGCCCCCATATCTAAATGACAAAATAAGTTGTCAGTGCCTTCTAAAGAAAGACCGATGTGACGGTTACGAAAATGATCACTGATAGTCTGCCACCTCTTCGAGACTAATAAACTACTTTGTTATGGTTTAAAAGCAACATAAGAAATGTGATGCAAACCCTGGTCTCCAGTGTCATGACCAGGCACATTGTACATTGTACCATGAGAGGATGGTTGTCAGAAAAAAGGTCAGCCAATGGCCAGTGCAGTCTGGCCATTTCTGGTGATGCCAGTCACAGCTAAATTGCAAACTGATTTAAAGTGACATGAGAAATAGTTACATTTGCCAAAAACACAAGCATAACAGACAAGAAAAAAAAAGAAAATTGACTTCAGTATTTATTTTGTCATCTTATCTAAGTCATAGAAAACACTCCTAGCAATTGTTAATTCTTATTCATACTCCCCGTGTTTATCTAGAAATAAACACCGCCATGGGAAATTGATTTCCATTTAACTGCCTATGCAAACAAGTGACATTTTATATTTGACTGATTGTATATTATGCTGTATGATCGTTGACATCCCCCATTCTTCCTCTACAACTCAAGAGAATGGTAATAAAAGTGCTGCTGGGTGGTTCAGGCAGAGACTTTTAGTCTAAGAGGCCAACAAGGCCTACTTTAAAATAACAACATTTTAAGCTTCTGGGTGTTAGGCTAAATGGTCAAGTGTAATCCCCTTAGCTCCCGACCAGCATTAGTAGAAATTCCTCAATAATACGCAACATGATTTCATAGTGACTGCTGCCTTTGAGAGATGTTTGTAATGCTGAAAAGGTCACAAGGGGCACAGACAGACAGACAGACAGGCAAACAAAGGGACTTAAGTGTGCTGGTTTGAGGAACAAGGTTCCCTTTTTTCTGGCGATTTCAGACTTGAGTCATTAGGATCCATTTTTCTTTAATAACAAAGGACGTGGTGGAGCACGGCTGAATGTTTGTACAGCTGATTAACACCACACCTTTCTCAATTCGACTGAGCTATGGGAAAAAGAGAAAACTACACGCCTCTGTTGTCAAAAAAATTTTACAAATCTGCATTATACATCTGGTCTTTGTCATTTGTATTACACATCTTAGTCTCTTGAGCTGAAATTTTTGAGGAGATGTGAGGCCTCTAACTTGACATGAGTTTATTGAAACAAACCTAAAAAAAATTTGAAGGGTAAACCCACCAGCTGCGTCACGTAGCAATGCATCATTTGACACCCACAGCACACACTGGATGTATCATATACAGAAGAAGTGGACATGGTACGGTAATCACAATATGCCAATCTGCAGACTCAATACAGATTCTGCTTATCAACCTCAGCCAGTACCAAACACCAATACAATTCTCTTCCCAAATTTAAAATGTGGTTAACCCTCCATGTGGAGGTGATTAAGAAGTGTAAACTGAGGTAACGCTGTACCCACTCATGCATTATTGGGTTAGTTAAAGAGACTATTTCTATGTTTTGTTTCTCTCCGGCGAACATGGTTTCTTGCTGCAAGGTGTGTTTACAAGACAATAGGTTATAATACGCCCTCCGAGCAGCGCCACTTCTTCACGGCAGAATGAAGGCTACAGTGAGTCGCTATCGGAAAGTGTCGCGACAGGCCAGGGCTAGCTGATTAGCGTGCTAACTTCAGTGGAAAAAAAGATGTGATAGGGACAAGAGTAAACATTTGCGTTGCTTTCCACCACTGGAGACAGCGCTTGGTGAGTCAAGACATGACGTTTGATGCTGAACTTGTAACATTTCTTCCAGACTGGTAAGCAAACAGCTGTTAATGCTAACGCTGGCTGTGTAGCAAAAGCAAATCTTACAAATAGCTTCTTAAAGGTCAGTCCCTGTTCTCTGAGCTGTTCTTCTTATCAAATTTTGTTAATCACTGTGGTTTCACAGTGAAGGACTATCACTGCTCAGACATTGAGAAGCATTAATTGTGAAGCATATGCAGAAAGTGGCTAGTAGTTTCCACAGTAGCTTTGTGCTTCATTTGGTCTCCACACCAGGGAAACCATCAGTTTTCAGGAAAAGTAAAGGTGTGCCATAAACATCCACAGCAAATTTCAAGAAAAAACAGCCATACCTTTATGTACTACTAATACAACCATACTTTAGTATTAGACAGACTGACAGAATCATGAATTCGGAAACGTGCAAACGGTCACAGACATTGCTTAGAGTGTGCAACAGAAAAAACAAGCATACCACTGGCATTCAGAACAGTTTCAAACTCACCTGGGAAAAGTTGAGCCCATTGAGTGGATGGCACTGTTCCTCCACCTTCTCGACAGCCCCCGTCCTCTTCCTCATCCTCTCTGCCTCCTGGGCCAGGTACAGGTCCAGCACTGGCACCCCTCTCGTCTTAATATCTGCCTCAGTTAATGAATTCACCATCAGCATTACCCAAACTGGTCGCTTCCTCTCCCAGTTCCCAGCGATGGCATTGAAGAGATAGTCTGCGTAGAGTCCCTTCCCTCTCTGATCTGGCGTCATCCACGAAGGCATCATGAGTTTTACATACTCAAGGTGCCTTTTAAGTCTCCGATAGATGTCTCTGGGTAGGACGTCCTGCAGGTTTTCACCCTGGGGAAGCAGCTGACAGCTGGTCAGGGCTGAGATGGTGTAAGGGTCGGTCAGGTCCAGCTCAAAGTAGACAATGTTACTCTCCTGGAAGGCCTGCTTGGAGTTTTCAGGAATGAAGTCCCAAACACGTGTGTAGGGAACGTGGATTGTACCATAGAAATATGAGGGAGGATCCCGTTTGATCGTCCACAGGAAGGAGTTTAGATCAGTTTGCTGGGGGATAAAAAAAAAAAAAAGCTATTATTTTCATTATATATTAATCTGTTGATTATTTTTCTGATTAACTGATTAATGTTTATAGATGTCAGAAAATAAAAAATGCCTGTCGCAAGTTCACATGGCTCAGGGTTTTGTCGTCAGAGTATTGCTTTGTCTAACCAAAGGTTTTAGGCCCATAAACTTTTCATTTACACTGAAGAACACTGAAAGTCAGAAAATCTTCACATTTGAGAAGCTGGAAACATTGAATGTGTGCCATATTTAACGATCAAAATTATTCTCTGTCAATTGACCAAGCATTCTAGCACTGAATATTAGCAAGTCAGAAACATGTGTAAGACACATGGGGGAAATAGAGATATGAAAAAACAAAACAGAGAGTGGCACATTTACAGGAAAAGGAGAAGAATCTTTTATCAGTTGGAAGTTTCTTCATGACATTACAGTTTACATGTAAAGTGACACTGGGCCTGTCTGACACCAACGGGCAAAACCACCACTTTGTCTGTCAGAGGCTGTTTAGGAGACAGACTGCTAACAGACTGATAATGACTTATTAACAGGCCACTTAGGACCCAAGTGCCAAACAAACAATACACATGTCAGTGTTGCCCAGAATGTTTTGCCCTCTTGTTTCTGTTCCTGAATCCTGAAATGGCCTGTGAGCGTTTAAAGAACATGACTGGGAAATGAATAAAAAAATTTAAAAAATCAAAGAAAGGCTGAGAGGCAATCAATAAAAGGGAGGCTGAAATTTAATTCATTTGTAAAATACTAAAGAGAAACAGAGTAAATCTTGATCTGATGGTTTTGTCCCTAAACACACCTATGGACAGTGTGTAAAGCCAATACACAAAACTAGCATAGAAACAATCAAGGATGATTGACAGAAAATGTATCTGAGATTTTTGATAATTGATTATGCCATTTATCAAACAAAGTGGCATTTATTCCCTGATACAACATTTTTATATCATTCTTAATAATCAAAACATGATTATCATTATCAAATTTCTTTAACTTCTTTAGGTTTGGGACTGTTATGTCAGAAAAATAAGGTGAAGATGACACCTTGAGCTCTGAGAACTTGTGATGGGCATTTTAAACTATTTTTCCACAGATTTAGAACTAAAAAAGGTAATAAATTTATGATTAACAGATTAATCAATAACAAAAATAGTCATTAGTCCCAAAACTATACAAAACAGAACAAAGAAAATCATAGATTTCCTCCATAGACAGGACTGATTTCACCAACATATTCCACCTATACACTTTGATTTCAAAGTGGAAACAGGTTCAATGATTAAAACTGTAAGAAGAGGGTAGTTGGCCCTTCAGGGCTCCTTTAAAACTTTATGAACTGCTGCAAAATAAGAAAAAAATGATGTGGCTACTTTGAGGTGCCAAGATAAAACTTTACAATGGAAAACCGTTAAAGCGACTTTTACAACATTTAAGCGACGTAATTACTCATTTACTCTGGTGTCATGATAACTTACTTTCCTGTTTAACTCGCAGTTGGCGGAGTCCTTCAACCTCCACTGGTCTGCTCGGACCAGCAGCAACAGACAGGACTGAATGAATGCGCCCAAAGTGCCCCGCATCGTAGCTCTCTCCAAAGTGTGCACGGCAAGCCTGTGTTTGCTTCACAACGTGTTGCACCAACTATTCCGCAGAAAGCATATGGACGAAGCACTACTTCCACAGCCCCTCAGGCTCCATGCGGTCACGTAAAATGAGCTGACAAGTATCCGACAAACCGCCGGACAGGGGTCATGCCGGCTCGAGCCTGGACATGGACGCGGTGCTGCTGTTTCACGTGTGTTTGAGAGAGGGAGAGGTGGTCATTGGGGTTTACACGGGGTCAGATCATGCTCTCAGTGTTGGCCAGACTGCTCTCTCTCTCTCTCTCTCTCTCTCTCTCTCTGTCTCTCTCTCTCTCTCCGCATCTCCTTCCTTCCAGATGTCCCGCAAAGTGTGCACGAGCTTATCCAAAAGTTTGAGGGATTCGAGGCAAAATGAATCAACAGGTCCACGCAGCGTCAACGCACCTGAAGCCAAAAGAGATTTTTTTTTTTTTTTTAACCCCGGTTGTTCGGTTGGTGAGGACTGAAGATGACACTAGTGTGGATTTAACAAACTGCACGGACGAGTTGCACTTTCTAATGAAAAGTCTTAAAACCAAACTTCTCTGCACACTGATCTGTCTGTCCACCAGCTCCTCGCTGTTTGTATCTACGCCTCTGCAACTCTCTCCTACGTGTGTGTGTGTGAGTGTGTGAGTGTATGTGTGCGTTTGTGTGTCAGAGAGAGAGAGCATTTCTGTCAAGCAACTCCACTCTACCTACCCCCTAGGTTGCCTCCATAACCCTCCCTCCATCTCTCTCTCTCTCTCTCTCTCTCTCTCTCTCTCTCGGACACACACACACACACACACACACGTACACACGCACAAAAAACACACACGTGCGCGCGCAGCAGTAATGTGATTAAACAACACCGCGCCCGCGACGCGTAAAGTCTCCATTCCTGTCAATAAACTGAAGGTGCGGATGCAGAGCATTAAGATTAACACTGAGGAATGTAAAGCGATGCCAACATTTGATCAACATCATCCAGATTATTAATAGTTAGTGGTCCTGATTCCCTTTTTATTTTTAGTTTCAGACTGATGGGGTCTCTTGTTGTCGCCCTATAGGAGGCCTACAGACAATCAAGGGTGCCAGTGGAGATCCCGTGGATAGATTATCATACCCTGCTAGTTAATGCCTTACAAACTGGAGGCATTAACATGAGAAAACCCGCAATAACAGCGCTTTACTCCGAGACACAGCTGAGCACAGACATGGAAACCACAGAACTCCACCTTTTAATAGGCCCGAGGATCAGCAGACCTCATGCAGCAGCTGGGACGAGTTCACTCACCATATGTTAACCAAATGTAGCTTATTCCTTAACTTGTTGAAGTCGTAATTTTATCCCACACAAATTTATAATATCTTTATATAAAGTTCCATGTAGCCCAATCACAGTGCACTGCCTAGTTAGAGTCCATGTAGCCTAGAGATTGTTTGGAGCCTGAATGTTTCAGTGATGAATAGCCTACCTATTAAAATGAATATGTTCTCATATGAATTAAGTTTAAAAAAAAAAAAAAACGTGTTGTGGTGTTTAGCATGGAGGGGGAAAATGTTTTGTCCAAGATGTATGATCACTGTTTTCTTGATGTCACCTATGGCTGTGTTATAAACCCATACATGCATCAAATCCCACTAAAAGAAATACAAAAACAGCTCTTGTGAAACTTCAATGTGTGTCACCATGACTAAAATTTTCAGCGTGAATGACTGTTTGCTTTACCAGAAATTACAAGGACAAATGGTTGAACTTCACTGCACTGGATTTACTGGGCCATACTCTGCCAATCCCGCCCTGACAAAAGTGAAAAGGTGCTCAAGTGAAGTGAGGATCGCAGTTTTTATATGGCAGTCACACGGAGACAGACGGAGGAGTCTTTTGGTTGATTTGTGGCTGCGCCATAGTCTGTATACGAGGATAGCTGCACCTAGGAGGCCGATCTATGCTCCCCGGCTCTATGCTCCGTGCCGTCAAAACCCCTGGTTCACACGGGGGCAGCGAGCACATGTTGATGTCGTCAGACGTCTGAGTAAATACAAAACGGTTTGTTGACGCGAAGAACGACTCCGGGGCCTAATTCTCGTTGGTTGCTGTTTGCAGACAAATACGACAGACTGGAAAGATTATGAGGAGGCCGGGGCCGCCTCGCATGATAAGTGCTTTCAGCAGCACGAGACGATCTCACACACAGCAGACGCAAACTCATTGACTGTGAGAATGAGATGAATTCATTGACCGTTTGTGTGTTTTTAAAGCAAGGGGAAGACAAACTGAAATAAAACAGGACTTATGTGCAGTTTTGCATATGCATCGAAATTGTATAGATTGAAATATAAATATGTGCGTGTTTTAAAGACCAGCTCTTGAGAGTTTTCTGGCCATATGTGTGAAATATGGGACCATGATCATAATGAAATCCAAACTTTACCAAAACCCGTTAAAGCTCCACCTAGTGGAGGAAGTAATTTTTACCAGCTGTGCTTTTCTACAGTACTCAGCTTTTGTGCTTTGGCATCATCACACCAAGTTCAGTCATGTAAATTCAGAGCCGATGTTGAATTTTAAAAGACTGAAAGACAAAAAAGGAGAAGGCAGAAAGATGAACGCGAGGATGCAGGGTGCAAAGACAAAACACTGCATGAGAAGCAGAGCAGAGAGAGACAAACAGTTAAAACTGAGTGACGTCTCTCCAACATCCACTCATCCAAAGACTTCAGATCTGGCTGATCTGCCTCACTGTTTTTCACTGCCCTGAACCTGCATGGGCCACACTGGTGTCAGAAAATCATTTTGTAAGACGTTAGTGTCATTCACATCCAATTTCTTAACTGTTCATGCTATGTTTAATTCCTGGAAAAAGAAAAAGAACACCGGCGCACCGGGAACACAGCAAATCTATGTTAGATGTAGGCCTACAGTATATGGTAATATGAGATATGATCGTTGTTATTTTAGGCTATTCATACCGTGAGATGCCAGGAGAAAACTTTAAAGAAATACAGCAGCAGCATATAGTATCAGTGTACTCTACTACTCCTCTCCTAAATCTGGAAAAATCCAGTTGGGGCTATGTACAGTACAAATCATTGAGAGCTAAGGTGTTTCTTGCCACCTCGTGAAACTCTCAAAGATTAAAAACAATTAAAAGTTGACTTGTAGTTATAAAATTTAATTAGAATGCGTGATCTGTCCCTCAATTTAAATGTATTCACATTCAGATTCAACTTACTTTGCTCGATAGTTCAGGAAAGTTGTTTCATTTCCAGAACCATGTGTGAACATCAGATGCAAAGACCAATGGCAGCCCTGGGAACTGTGCATTTGTCCAATCATGTCGTCGTCTGAGAAATGGAGAAAATGTCAAACATTAATATACAAACTCCTTTAACTGACTTCTGTTTCAGTCTCACTTGTCTAAGCTGTTGCACGTTACAGTGAAAATGGAAAAATTTTGATGGTTGTGACCTGGTTTCGTGTATTTGTGTGTGTGTGTGTGTGTGTGTGTGTGTGTGTGTGTGTGTGTGTGTGTGTGTGTGTGTGTGTGTGTGTGTTAGTGTGTGGTTTCACACAGATGCCTCTCTACAAATCACGTTTCTCAACCTTTACAAAGATTAAAGAGGAAGCAGCTGCAGGTGTTCTTTTTACCTCTATACAGATGCACAAACAAAGATGAGCATTACAACATGCGCATACACACACACGCACACACACACACACATACACACACACACACACACACACACACACACACACGCACACGCACGCACACATGCTCTCACACCTGTTCTCTATTTCCATTATCCCCCCACTTAGCCCACAGAGGCTGTTTTATATAAATACTTATCCAACATACATCATCCTCTCTCACTCTGTGTACATATGTTACATATGTCAGAGGTAAAAGCTGTTACCTGCTGCTTTTTACATCATGTATTGTTCCTCACAGCAAATTCAAACCAGTTTTTCACTAACACGTAGGGTCAGGATGAAGTCTGGGGGTCAAGACTTGATAGACAGGAATTCACTAACCAGCACATCACCCAGTCACATATCAGATCTCCCTAACCTAAAACCATATGACACACCAGCATATGGGCTTGATGAGTAAAAGATAAGTAGAGGTCTTATTATATGGGTTGGAAACTCTGGGTTTGTAATTGAGTTACAAATTTAAAATTTTGCCAGGCAACTAGGAGCCTGTGAAACGCCCTTTTACTTCTTTTTTGTTTTTCTTTTACATCTGTATATGCATGACCTTTCACATGCTGTGTAATAACATGTAAAACCCATTCAGTACATAAAATAATATTTTTTAAAAAGTAACAATAAATGATAATAAAATTGACAATAATCCATAACTCCTTTCCCTCTAGCATTTCAATGCCGTTTTATAAAAGAGAGTCTGTTTGAAGCTTGTTATGGACGTAAGTAACCTCTCGCTCGTCAATACTACGACCGTACATCTGTACATTTCCACTTTAAAGTGGCTCTGTTTGTGAAGATCAAACAGAGCTGGGGTCTTCTGAGGTGTCCCGAGCAAACATCTGATTCTGCCTCTTCAGAGAAATCTTCAAAAGGATTTCACAGTATGAAATGACCACATATGTTTCATTTTATAAAGACTGGGAGGTGGATGTATTTGATCCTGTCAGGTGACCCATATAAACACTCTCTGTCGCTCTCAGTAGTGACAGATATTTCTTGATTAAACAGAACATCCTGATATTTTTAAATTAAGTTTTTACAAATGGAAAAACATAAATATCAATAAAAAGAAAGACTGTCTCTCTCTCTTTCTGTGTGCGTGTGTGGCTTGCAAGTGCTCCCAGATTTCTATGTATAGTTTACATTATTTGTATGTATGCATTCCCAGTTTACACATTCCTCATATTTTTATAATCCTGAAAACAGACCATATGACTTTCAGGAAGCAGTCTGCTGGACAGATGAATCCATTCATTTTTAC